AAGCATCCCTGAGGACTGGGGCCCACGTCAACGCCGTCGTCGTCGCCGCCACAACCGCCGCCGTCGTCGTCGTCGTCGACGTCCCCCTTCAGGGTCGGCGGCGCCGGCCGTAAGGCCTTCGCAACCGTGCTCTTGCGCGGGATGTCCTCATAATGTATGCAAGGAACGCGCTCTCGCGTGGGACTTCCTCGCGATTTGCTTACTATCCGCGCACGCGGTACTCAGGAATCACGCTCTGGCTGCGCTATCGCTCGACCGTCAGGGTCTACGATCTGCATGTCTGTTTCCGCCACGTGTTTTCTGATCCATGCCACCCTCCTGCTACCCCTTTCGTGCTCCATCCTCCTCCCGCCCTCTTTGTCCCTTCCTTGCATCCGTCCTATCCTCCCCTGCCTCAGGCGCTGCAGGGAATAAGCGTTGCAGGTAAGACATACATCCCAAGGGGGTGCGGTCGAAGACGAAGAAGGCGGGTATCGAAGGTTTGCGATATACGTGTTGAAATGGCACGCGAGCAGATAAGAACGAGCAATATTAATATGATTATTGTTGTTGTTGTTGCTGCTGCTGCTGCTGTTGTTGTTGTTGTTGTTGTTGTTGTTGTTGAACTCTCACAGCGGAATAATCATTATTGTTGATATCCCCCCGGGTGCACGTTGCATTTTTCAATTGAGGTGCCCCTCTCGGCGCTCGCACCCTTTTTTATCAAAGAAAATCTTCTTCCTCAATCTGTGACCCTGGCCCCGAGTTCACAACAACGGCTCCCGCTTGATACTTCCTCGAAATTTACTCCGGTCCCCCGCTCCCGCTTGAGACTTCCTCGCAATTTACTTAAGAATCGCGCTCCCGCCTGAGAGTTTCCCCGCAATGTACTCAGGCGCCGCGCTCTTGCCATTCAGGATTTGCGCGTTCGCTGAGGCATTCCTTGTATTTACTGAGGAATCGCTCTCTCGCTGGAAACTTCCTGGCTAATCCCGCAAAACTCACGAATAAATAGACACCCGCCAAAAGTGGTATGATCGAAAACGAAGAGGGCGGGTATCGAGTGCTTGGGACATGCATGCTGAATGACACTCGAGCAGATAAGAGCGAACCGTCTTAAAATGACTGTTGCTGTTGTCGTTGTTGTTGACGGAGTTTCGCTAAAGAAAAACAATTATTGTTGATCCCCCCTCTGGTGACATATGTGTATTTTCCTATGAAAAGCCCTCCTGGGCTCGCATCTTGCTTTATGGAAGAAAATCTTCCTCCTCAAACTGCACCCTTGGCCCCCGGACTACAACAACACCGGCTCCCGCAGGATAATTCCTCGCAGTATGCTGAAGACTCGCGCTGTCGCTAGGGACCTCCTTGCAATTTGTCCAACAAGTGCGCTCTCGCCTGTGATTTCCGCGCAAATTCTTCAGGCGCCACGCCCTCGCCATTCAGGAATCGCGCTCTCGCCTTGGACTTCCTCATAATTTACTTAGGAATCGCGCTACCGCCCGAGACATCCTGGCGAATTCTGCAGGACTCTCACATTCGCGTAACATACGTGCTTTTTTTGGCGCAAAAATTGATGTGCCCTTCCGGGGCTCGCTGTTACCTAGAAAAAATTGTCCTGCTCAAGCTGTGCCACTGGCCCCCGGTTGACAACAACAACTGCTCCCGCCTGACACGTCCTTGCAATTTCTTTAAGAATCGCGCTCTCGCAAGGGACTTGTTGCAATTTATCGAAACATCGCGCTCTCCACTGCTACTCCCTTGCAATTTATTCAAGTGTCGCGCTTTCGGCACTCGGGGATCGCGCTGTCGCTTGGGACGTCCTCGCTCAGGAATCACGCTCTCGCTCTGGACTTCCTCGCGAGTTATTTTGGAATCGCGCTGTCGCTCAAGATTTCCTCGCGACTCATGCAGGACTCACGCTTTAGCAACCCGCCTGCTCGACCTGGCCGCCTGGGCCCACCTTCCCGACCAGCCCGCTAGGGTCTGCTCGTCCGATGTGCCCGTCTTGTTCTGCCACATGGTTTCTGCTCCTAGCCCCCCCCTCCTGCAAATATCAATCGTTCTCCATCCTTCTTCCTCCCGTTCCATCCGTCCTCGCTTTTCATGTCTTGAGGGCCCGCGCTAGTTGCGCGTGACGAGTGGGGAGTGTGTATATATATATATTATATTATATTATATATATATATACACACACTCCCAAGAGGGTACGATCGAAGACGATGGTTTGGCGTATACATGGTGAATGGCACGCGGACAGAGGTTTACATCTCATTATAAACAGCAGTTGTTATTAATCCCCCTCTTCTCGGTGACCAGTGTGGTTGGCAATAAACATGCTCCTCCTGGGGCTCGCACCTGGGAAAGACTGGGGTCACAAAACTGTGCCCCTGGCCCCTGGTTTATAACAACAGCGGCTCCCGCATTGTATTTGAGAATCGCGAACTCGCGCGGGACTTCCGCACAGTGTATGCAGCAGGAATGGCGCTCTCACGTGGGACTTCCTGTGAATATATTCAAACGCTGCGCCCTCGACGCTCAGGTATCGCGCTCTCGCGTTAGTTCTTCTCGCGATTCACGCTGTCTCTCGTGACCTCCTCGTGAGTCATGCAATACTCACGCTTCAGCCACCCGCCTGCTCGACCTGGCCGCTTGGGTCCGCCTTCCCGACACGCCCGTCAGGGTCTACACGCCCAATCAACGCGTCTGGATCTGCCACGTGTTGTCTGCTCCTAGCCCTCCCCCCCTGCTACTCTCTCACGTGCTCCATGCCTCTCCCTCCCCCTTGTCCCTTTCTTCCATCCGCCCTCGCTTCCCCTTTTTGAAGGCCTGCGCTAAACGCACGTGGTACGGAAGGTATACCCCCAAGGGGGCGCGATCGAAGACGAAGAGGGCGGGTACCGAGGGTTGGGGATATACGTGGTGAGTGGCACGCGAGCAGATAGGAGCGAACAGTCTAAAAATCCTTGTTGCTGTTGAGTGTTACGTAATTACGCAGCAATCATTATTGTGGACCACTATACAGGCGTTCTGGCGCTCTCGCCTCGGCGCCAAACCCCTGATTTAGGGTCTGCGTCAACTAGACGTGTCAGATTAGGAAGGTCTTGCTCAAGGGCGGCACGATGGAAGCCGAAGGGGCAGGTATCAAGTGTTGTACATGTCGAGTGACACGAGAGCGCGTAAGAACGAGCAGGTGTAACATGATTGTTGTTGTCATTGTTGTCCTCGTCCTCGCCCGCGACTCGCCCGCGACCCACCCACATTACTTTGACGAAAATTCGTCACCTGCGGCGGGCTCATTGTGCAATGTGTTGAAATCGGCGCCTGCGGCGGGCTTCTTCAGATTCTTGCAGACTGCCGACGACCCCACTCACTCTTGTCCGCAACTGCAGGTGCTACGTATATTTGTTTTGCTTGTATCCTTCTGCTTCCCTCAGCGTGCCTCCTTCTGTCCCCAAGAAAAGGTCGGGATGTTTGGGATAGCGTGTCGCAGTGGCGCCCTCGGCGACACTCGATGCCTTGCAAGCGGATAGCGCGTCGCTCTGCTTCGCGGGGCGGGAAGCTTGAAAAAGCTTGGATGTAGGCGCCCGGGGACCGGGAAACGGACAGCGTGTCGAGCCGAACCGTGGTGGGCTAGAACCGGAGGAGCGACACGGTATCCAATAGTTCCTGACCGTATGCCTGCGACGGCGAGGCCGCTGGCGTCGCCACGCCAGGGATCATAGGGAGACGTCGCGGCCTCCGAGAGCAGGAAAAACATAAACATTTACGCGGACCGTCCACACGGGCGCTGCGCTGGGTTCAGGGAGCACGAAAGCTCGAGCCCGAAACCCTCCCGTCGTGGTGGTGGTCGACGGCAACGGCGTCATCGTCGCCGGGGAAAGGATGAGGGGGAGGAGGGGGCAACGGAGAGCGAGGAGTCTCGAGGATGAGAGCGGGGAGGTGAGGGGCGAGGACGAGGGGGGGGGCGGAGGAGGACCGGCACGGACTCGCACTCGGATCGCGACTGGGCAGGAGGCGGTACACTCATAGGTTCAAATGCGGTCGTTGGCGCTGGCCTCGTCGCGCCTGCGGGGGAGTTGGGCGAAATACCTCGAGGGTTGTAGACCAGCTATAAGCAGAGGCTGTTGAAGGAAGGGAGGGTGGTACCAAGGCGGGGAGCGAGGGAAGGGAGCGCGAGCTGGGAAAGCTCCCAGCTCCGCTGCCAACTAGAATTGCGGAGGTTGGTGGCTGCGGCGGTAAAGCGGCCTTTTTCTTATGATATCAGATGCGCGCGCTCTGGTGCCTGAGCCCACGTAGCAGCCGGGCATCCCGTTCGAGTGGGAGGCGGGAGGAAGGAGTAGGAGGCAGGAGGGCGGAGGCAGGAGGAGGGGGGGGGGGAGAAGGGAGGTGGGAGGAGGGGGAGGAGGTAAGAGGGGCGCGTCTTTGATCCGACCGACTGTGGACGGCCCCAAAGCTCCGTCCTCCAGTTGCACTGGCTGGCCTACCAGAGGGGGGCGCTGGCGCGCAAAAAATGGCGCCGTCCACGGCCTCTTCCTCTGCATGTCCCTCCTCCTCGTCCTCCGTTTTTCTTCTCCATCTCCTCCTCGCCCTGTCCTTCCTCCTCCTTCTTCTCCTGTCCCTGCCTCCCTTTCTGTCCCCACCTCCTATTCTGGTCTCTCTTCCTGCTGCTCATCTCCTTTGCTTCCTCCTCCTCCTCCTGCTCCTCCTCCTCCTCCTGCTCTTCCTCCTCCTCCTCCTCCAGATCCCTCTCCTCATCAAGTCCGTTTGCGAGTGTGCGTCGTCAGATGGTGTGTCTTCTCAACCTTCGCGAGCACCATCCTTCAAGAGTGGTAAAGCTGATGAGCCCCACCCGACTCCGACAGGGTAACGCCAACCCGCAAGGACATCAGCAAGACTCTGCTCTCTGCAAACCTCACACGACTCCTCCACTCCTCCTCGTCGTCGTGCTCCTCCCCCTCCTCCTTTTCCGCCTCCTCCTATCTTTCTTATCCCTCTTCCTTCTGCCCCCCCCCCCTGGCTCCTCTGTCGTCAGGGCGAAGACGATGCCGTCTCCCGCGGGCATGCTGACTATGGCACCTTGCTTGAGGTACTCCTCAATCGGGCGGCGCGGGAGTCGACCGTGGGGGGAGGATGCGAGGAGAAGGAGGGGGGAGGAGGGAGGATAAAGGGGGAGGGGGGTGGTAATGAAGAGGGGGGAGGAGGCTGGGAGGAGAGGGCGAGGAGATGGAAGAGGACGATGGTGGTGATGATGCTGATGCTGCTGATGATGATGCTGATGCTGATGCTGCTGATGATGAGGGGGAGGAGACGAGCGTAGGGGGCGGCGCGTGTCCCCGCCTAAAGGAAGGAGGAGAAGGAGGAGGGGGGAGGCGGAGGGCAAAGTAGTAGCAATACTGTGAGTCGCGGCCGTAATCGCCGCAACAGCAGTCGCCGTACCTTGTGTGTGTGTGTGTGTGTGCTGTAGTGGTGGTGGCGGTAGCAACTGTAATCCTGGCAATGGCAATGGACATGTAATCCTGGGGGGGGGGTCCAACACCGATCCAGGGAATCCGCCGTGAACCTTCGATGTTCGTTCCGTTCAGTCTTCTCCGGTGGAAGAGCTTTAAATCGATGGTGGTGATGATGATGAGGATGATGATGATGCTGGTGCTCTGAATGATGATGTCGGTAGTAGTGATGCTGCAGACGATGATGATGATGCAATTGATGATGATGGTGATGCTGATAGGGATGATGATGATGAAGATGATGATGATGATGATGCTGATGCTGATGATGAAGATGATTGTGATGCTGCTGATGATGATGCTGATGATGATGACGATGAAGATGCAGACGATGATGATGCTGCTCATGATGATGATGCTGATGACAATGCTGACGATAATGATAACGATACTGATGCTGATGCTGCTGCTGCTGCTGCTGATGATGATGTTGATGTTGATGTTGATGTTGATGATGATGATGGTGATGATGGTGGTGATGATGATGATGATGATGATGATGATGATGATGATGATGATGATGAGCTGATGGCGACGAATATGCTGATGATGCTGCTGCTGATGATGATGATGATGCTGATAGTGATTCTGATGTTGTTTATGATTATGCAGAATAGGGGGAGGAGGAGGAGGAGGAGGAGGAGGAGGAGGAGGAGGAGGAGGAGGAGGAGGAGGAGGAACAGGAGGAGGAGGAGGAGGAGGAGAAGGAGGATCAGGAGGGGAGCAGAAGGGAGAAAGGAGGACGAGGGGCGCAGGCAGAGGAGGTCTAGGATTAGCAGTGTGGGGAAAAGAAGAGAGGAGGAGGAGGAGGAGGAGGAGGAGGAGGAGGAGGAGGAGGAGGAGGAGGAGGAGGTCGAGAGAGCCCCAGGAGAGGCCCACAAAGGGTTTTGGATGGCCCTGTGGATCCCTCTGCAGCAACATCCCAATGATGCCGCAACCGGCGCCCCAGAAGCACCCTCCATGCCACAAGCAGCCCGCCGCCGCGCCCGTGACCAGGCCGCCCGCCAACCTGTCTCCTGGGGGCGGGGGCGAGGGGGCAAGGAGGGGGAGGGCGAGGAATGAGCCAGGCAGGAATCAGGGAGGAGCGAGGAAGGGAATGAGGAGGAGGAGG